AGGAACCAGTTGTGCAACAAATATGCAGGAAGAATTGGAGGTGGATTGCCTGGCCATACTCTGAGAAAACAAACCATCATCAAGTTCCTCCCATCACACTCCCGGCCATCGCTCGAGTGGAACCCGAATGGGAAGTGGCTAGTTGGTCGTCAGTGAGAGGGTGGGGTTTCATGGAGGAGGTGATGTGAAAAGGAGATGAAAGTATGTGGTCAGACGTGGAGGCAAGTGAATATATTTGCAGAGAACCGAACGCAATGGAGACGTGCAGCTGAAGCCCTATGTTGCTCGAGGAAGTAAAGGAAACAATAATAATAATACAACCAAGTTCAAGCCTCATGATACTTATGGTGGCTGTCACTATTAAACGATTTATACCTGTGTTCATATGAAAGTCATAAAATGAGCTAAACTCAAATAGTTTTCGCATTTCTTATTTAATTATTAAGAATTTTCTAGTAAATTACACGATTTTATAATTCATGTACCACAATATCTTCATTCTACCCATGATCTCTTATTTTCGAGAAGCTTTTTATTGCATTTCATATTACAGCATGTTACTGTTATGAGAGGTTTAATTTTCTTGACATTGCTATGAAACGCCTGGATGATGGTAGTCTCCAGAGATCAGTTTACTGAAAATCTATATGGAATGGACAATACTCAAATTTTTTTTGATTATAGCTTGATTCCACACCTAACTTTTGGTACAAGTGTGGAATTTTCAGCATGTGATATAGGTTTGAAAAATGTTAGATTGCAACTTAAAAAGGAAAGAAGATGGGAAGTTAAACACGCTAGTGTGTTTACAGGAAACCCACACACTCAAACAGATATTTAGACTTCCGATCATCCCATCCTATGTCAGTAGAAATAGGATTGGTGAAATGTTTAAATGACAGAGCACAAAACCTAAGTAGTACTAAAGAAAATCTAAAAGAGGAACTGATACACATAAAAGAAGCCTTGAAACTTAATAATTACCGGGGTAAATTAATCAGGAAATATGTAAGGAAATGTAAAAATAAAATAAATAATGATAGTAGCGATAGTGATAATAATAATAGTGGTAATAATAATATTAATGACGACACCAACAATAAGGAATCTAAATCATCAGTAGTAATTCCATACAAGGAAGGAGCCTCGGAAGCCTTACGCAAAATTCTTAACAAGGCAGGAATAAAAATGGTATTCAAACCCATAAATTGAATTAGAAACAAACCTTGTCGGTTAAAGGATCAATCCTGTAGAGCCTTTAAAACAAAACAATTTAGTTTATCTAATATCCTGCAATGATTGTCAGGTCAAATACATAGGTCAAACTAGTAGAACAGGGGTAGTCAGATTAGCTGAACATAAAAACTTAGCAAAATCTAGATTAGTTGACCCGAATAAGATAACAAATCTAGAGAATAGTTCAGCTATAGCACTACACACTACATGCAATTACACACAACCATACAATAGGCTGGATGGGATAAGATGACACTTTTATTATCTGATGTAACAGGGTGGAGGGAGAGATTGATAGCAGAAGCTTTGTTTATCGAATCAACTGCAAATACATGTAATAGGAATGATTCATCACCTGTCCCCGATATCTGGAAAATTCTACTAACCCCACAACAAATGGGAGAAAACAAAGAAAACTATAAAACTCAAGTTTCGAAGTCGTGTGATTATAATTGATATGATTTTGAACAATAAATTTTGTTCAAAACGTCATCCAGTAAATAATACTGTTTCATCCCTGTGTGATATATCTAACAAACAAACTAATGTGGAACTACTTACTACGACAGTGCCCAAGTTTTACACATATATTAAGGTTTGAAAAAATTTGGGCATTTGGTATATGATAATAATAATACTTTGATAAAGCTATTAGCATTAAATAGCGAAACGTCAGTAAAAACAATATCGTTTTGTTTTTTCATTCATTGGGAAATACAAAAACCTTAATTATAATGAATGTGATATAGGTAGCCCAGTTTTTCAGGCCGACCATTGACATCAAGTGTGCGTCGGCAGGGGATCGAACCCTGAACCATGTGCATGGTCGGCGAGAGTCCTAACCGCTGTGCCACCGACGCACAGTGATTTTTGTCCAAATAGCTGCAAATTAGCATGAGGCAAAACACTATCTTACAAAGCCAGAACAAGCCAGAGAATGGGATTCTCAGCATTTGTCACAATATTACATCTAATTGACTCAAAATACAAATAAAATGAACTCACAAATCTTTACACATTTACAGTAGGAATAGAGACAAAAATGTGCAAAGTACAAACTTAGAATAGTAACTCTAATAATAATAACAGTGAGTTTGTTTCAAACAGTATTGTCGATTCAGTTTGGAAATTTAAGCATGTTATAGATTATTGAATCTAGTGTTCTGTTGATATGGTATGGTGAGGGGTAAAACAGAAAATGGCAATTATTATAGATCTTAAATGATGTTTACACTTATGAGAAAATAAACAAAAATTGAGAGGATTATAAATATAAGAACAATAACAACAGAGCTTGGTGGAATAAGGATGGATAGAATTGTTTGTTTGCTGGTGGCACTATTTTCATCACATAAAATGCATGTAAAATATGGTATCGTGGAATTTTTATACTTAGAGATGCGCGCGTAGAGTCTTTTGATGAAATGACTTCTCGTTTTACCTGAGGAGACACAGGGCGAAAGCTTCGGGGGTAAAGTGAATGCTTACAGTCTGACGAAATCCATATAGCAAATTTGTTGAATGAAATCAATTGCCTATCAATGATGGGGTCAACGATATGGCCCAACGGGATACCACCACTCGCCCTAGTGACAGTTAGTCTTCAGAGTTCTACGAATTATGACATAGTCATTTTTAAGCAACCCAGGAAAGAACAATGGTGAAGGATAAAGAGGAATAGTTAAGATGCAAGAGTTGATAAACTGTAAGAGGAGGAGGAGTTGAGTTATGCTCAAGTGCCTTAACTTCTTAATGTAAAGCATCAGACGGGATATTTTACTAGAAATTGATAAGACATGGGAAGACCAGGATAGGTCAGAAGAAAGAATTAGTCAAAGAAATTTAACTTCAGACTTGATTTCTATGTCAATATCATAAATTTTGCAGCGGTCATGGGAATTAACAGCTTCATTACTTAACTTTCTTTTACATCAGAAACTGAAATTAACAGTCTGACATTTGGAAGCATTTAGTTTAAGACCGTTTGCTGACTCCCGATAGAAAGCTGATCATCTTACTACAATCTAGCTGAGAGTTAACAAGCATTGAAACAGTTAGATCATCAGCATATTTAACAAAGCTCATGTCATCATCAGAGTGAGGCAAGTCATGCATGAAGAAAGAAAAAAGAAAAGCAGAAAGGACAGCGCCTTGAGGGACGCCAACCTCAGTAAGCAATCAAGTGGACGACTTCCCTGATATACAGTGTACTGTTTTCTATCTGAGAAATATGAATGCAGTCAGTTGACAACCCAACATTCAGTTTGAGTTTCGCCAAGCTTATTTGCTGTGTATACAAATTTACATATATCTGCGGGAGCAGTTAAATTAGAACAGAAACAGGATCACAGATAACTTCGATTTTCTGAACATGTACGTCTCAAGGGAACAAATGCTTTCAAAAGTGCCATTGCCAGGCATCTACTTGATACGGGTCATGAAGTGGACATTGTGAAATCCTTTAAAATTATCACTAGACAAAACACTTCAGTTCTCTTCAAGTTTGCCGAAGCAATCTCTATGAAACGCCTGAAAGCAAATTTATGTGTTCAGAAAGAAAGTTATCAGTCTTTCCTTCTCCTAGTAACTGAACGTCTTGACTTTCTCTCTCTTTCATTTGATTACATAATCCTTAACTTCAATACCACCCTCCTTTCATTAATTGTAAATTCGCTTGTCTCTTATTTCTATGATTTTAGTTTAACTCACTATATTGTTAATCAGTTTATTAGTTACTCATCATTTTACTCACCTCTTGTGTTTATTACGTAACTCCTTTACCATCATTGTATGCATGTAGTGGTTTTTATTCAAACTTAAACCCTTTAGTATAAACTATAAAATTGTAGTTTTCTGAGCACTGTTCACTAAGTTTGGAGCCTCCTGTCAACTTGTAGTGAGAGATGTCTGCAAGCAAAAATTGCAGACAACAACTTACGTCGATGTTCACGTCCCAAATCGGGGTCATGAGAAAAAGACAATTACAAAGATTAACCTTGAGGAACTCACCAACCAATCACAGCAGACTTAACGTGTACAAATACAATTCGCAGATATATGCTTTAACTTTCTAAGAAACCGTCACAAGCAGTACAGAATAACCTTAGCAAGAGAACAATCAATCAGAAGAGGTTGCTTCTCCGCCAAAAATAACGCCAATAATAATGTACATAAAAATCCATAAATGTTTCTTGATTTCTGAATAAACGATCTGTTGCCTGGCCTTTGTCTTCTGTCGTTGCAAACTGACATCTTATGTGATTGTTTCTGTACATAAACTTCGCAATTTCTTTAGGCTGAAAACACATGATGAAAAGCAGACGAAATCTCAATCTGCACAAGCCGCTGTTATTTTTGCCTCATTCAAAAGAATCCGTTGGTTGAGAACTTTCACTTCTTATCTGAGACTGAATCGGTTACCACACACACAAATTCAAATGAATACCACTTTTTATTGATCGATTTAAGCGCATTTTACTGACGGAAATGATCAGTGTTGAGTACTTTCCATACACTGATTAAATTTTTTTATCACGAAACAATGAAGAAATTTTCAAACAAAGAAATAAGTTTAGAAACATAAAGAAAATAGGTACAATTAAAACGTAATTCAAAAGTACAACCTAAAAAATCGACCAATCAGAAGGGTAGAAATAAAGTTTATTCACATCACATGATTGGTCGACTATTGGGATTTGCTCATCATTATTATTAATATTATTTGTCAATCTGCTCACAGTGTAGTAGTCATTAAAAGTTCTTCAATGCACAAAAATGGTTATGCAATTGAAAAACTGCTTAAACGTAAATTATGCCGTGAAGAATATGATCGCTTATTATTTTGGTCTAGTTCAATATGTCATTTGGGTACAGAGAAACCAGAATTTAAATATCTTATCATTGGTGAAGAATGGTTGTATACTATGACTCATCCAAAACGACAACTTGAAAGTAGAATACACTTCAGTGTATGCGCTAATTTCTGTGCTTTCCTTTAACACAACTATCGTGTACAGTCAATTTTAGGTGTTGGATGCATTGGAGATTTAGCTAAATTTTTAAG